GCATGCACCCAATACTAGAGAGCAACATTGGGTGCCTTTCTCAATCACATCCCACCTTCTATTTTTATTTTCTGATGTTTAGCTTTTGTTTAGTTTTTGAGACAGGGTCTCTCTGTGTAGCCATGGCTGTCCTTGAACTCACTATGTAGACCAGACTAGCCTTAAATTCACACAGCCCCATCTGGCTCTGCCTCCCAAGTCCTGAAATTAAAGGCATGCCCTGCCACTCCCAGTCCACCTAATATTTGGAGACTGGAGCTCACAGATATAGCTAAACTGGTTGGACAACACACCCCACGGATCCTCCTATCTCTGATCTGGGTTTACCGGTTTTGCCACTTGTGTGTGTGTGTGTGTGTGTGTGTGTGTGTGTGTGTGTGTGTGTGTGTGTGTGTGTACATGTGTGCATAGCACAGACCCAGACTTGGGTCCTCACCCTTGCACAGCAGACACTTCACCAACTGAGTCATCTCCCAGCCCCTGCAGAGCTCTGAGATGCCATCAGGACTTGTGGGAAGGGAGTTCCTGGCCCTCTGAGTGATACCTTTATGAGCTGGCAGGAGCAGGGGAGGATTTAGCATAGTGACCTTGTGACTCTGAGGTGAGTTGAACCTGGGATGAATAGACCACAGACATCAGAGAGACCGTCAAGCAAACAGACTCCTGAGCAATGGTCCCTAGTCTTAAGAAGACTTCCTGGGCTCAGAAGTTTTCCAGTAGAAGCAAGCCAATATATTGCATTTATTATGTATACCGCCATGAGATGTTGAAATGGAAAGCAGCCTGGCTGACACACAACTGCTGGTTGTTTTCACTAGTGCAAGGTAAATTGGAAGAGTTTATCTTCATCAGTGAACCCTGGGGAAGATAGATGTTTCATTTCCCAGACTTTATTGTGGATAAACTATTTTAATTGTATTACTTGTTTGCAATGAAATTCTGTACACTTGCATGTTTTGTAATCAGAAAGAGATCTGGAGACCAGAAACTGAGATGCTCCACTCAGACTGACCATCAAGTTCTTAGACCGAATATTTCCTCAGTGTTCACTGGTTCTTATAAAATATCTTCAGGAGAATAACTATATAAAGAGGTTGAGTCAGTTGATGGTGGCTCATGCCTTTAATCCCAGCACTTGAGAGGCAGAGGCAGGTGGATCTCTGTGAGTTTGTAGCGCAGCCTGATCTACAGAATGAGTTCCAGGACAGTTAGGGCTACACAATGAAACCCTGTCATGAGGGAAAAACAAAAGAAGATGGTGAAAGTGTCCAAGGAATCAAGAGTAAGCAATTTAAATTTCGCATTTATTTATTTAGAGAGAGAGAGAGAGAGAGAGAGAGAGAGAGAGAGAGAGAGAGAGAGTGTGTAGGTGCATGTAGAGTCCAAAGAACAATTCAGGAGTCTGTTCTCTTCACCATGTAGATTCTGGGGATGGAACTGTGGAACTGAGGTAATCGGGCTTGGTGGCAAGCACCTTTACCTGAGCCATGTTGCTAGCCCCTTAAACACTTTTTATACACACTTTTTTCTTTTTTTCAGGGATGGAACCCAGAGCGCCATCCCTGTGTCAAGTTTTCCTTCCCTTTATTTCACTCCCACAGCTTTGGTCTACCTCCAGGAATCACGTTTCTACTCCATTAGCCCCTACACCATATTTCTCAGATGCAAGTCTCACCCCGACTCTCCTCCTCTGAATACATTGCTTACCAGAGCCACCTTCCCAAAGAGTGGAGCGCCTCTAATCACTGCTCCTCGCTGAACAGAATGAACCCAGGTTCCTGTGGGCAGCACTCAAGGCCCTGGATAATATGACGATTGTAAGGCCTGTCTCCCAGTGCTCCTTAGATGTCACCTCACACTAGACCACGATGAGGCTTTGCTGGGCTGTTTCCTCTGGTCTCTCATTCACATACTATCTCTGCCACTGAATCTTCTCCATCTTCCCCACTGGGATCAAGGTCTTCATCCTCAGAGATTTCTACCAGTTATCCCAGACTAATTTGGATGGGGGTTAACATGTGCTCAGACCTTGAGATCACCTGGCTTCGCTTCAAATCTCAGCTGAGGCTGCTAGCTGGGTGGATTCAACAAGTTATTCCAGGCCCTGAGTGCGATGCACAAGGATCAATTAGGAAACGCAGGTAGAATCACTCTATGCTAATGGCCATGCCCTTGCTATGGCTCAGATATGTCCCTGCTGAAGTTCATGTTCTGAAAACGTAACCCTCATATTCAGGGGTTCACAGTTAGGAGGTAATTCTGGTTAGATGAGATCATAGGGGTGGGGCCTCATGATGGGACTCACTGCTGTAAAGAGGGGAAAGACTTCCATTCCCGGGCGGTAAAGCATCAGAGTATACTATAGAATAGGCCTGCGAGGCGTTTGTTCTGCTCTCCAGGTCACCTGGGTTATTTTGAAAGACGGTAATCTAACCTAAGATCTTGCCAGGTGTCTGCGGCCAACTTTGTCCAGGCTTCTCCCACACCCAGAACCAGGAAGGGACACTGGTGGTTAGGCAGCTGTAGGAAAGCCAGCGTTAAGACTCCTAATTACTAGTTTAAATAACAGAGTACAACGGGCTCTGGTAACATGATATATTTTATTGGGCTTGTTCATACACATGACCAACAGAAGCTACAGTTTATGCACCTAAAAGTTACTTATCTGAGGCCCTGTGATCTGGAATTATCACAGGGAATAGGTTTGGGGCACTGGTAGCTCTCAAATGTCTACCCCCCATGGGCAGTGACAGGCCCAGAGAAGATGTCTCAATACCATTGCCTTCAGGTCACCTAACTCACAGGGATTTTTTTACTAATGCATACTAAACTCGTGTTTCCCGGTGTAATTTATGAGCCTGACCTTTGATGAGTTCGGGTGTCCTCTAATAAAAATGTCACAGAATGATTCACGAGGAGGAAAAGGGACTTGAAACTTAGGATTTTCAGAAATGCTCTCCAAACAGTAAGGCGGCATTGCTGGACCACTGCCCACTCCCCCCAAGCCTCTGGGTCTCTAAACTGTCTTGTACCTTTGAACATTTCTGTGTTAGATCTTGGCAGCAGAAGGCCTGGCCTCAAAGGGAGAATCTGAGAGTTCAAGGGCACAGCCTGGCCCAAACAGAGAAACAAAGAGAGCTAAGGTTACTGGGGTTCGGTGACTTTCTACAGCAATGGAGGTGTTTGCAGTCAGCTTCAAATGACAAACAAATCCCTTACAACCTAGAGTATTAACTGCCTAGGGCAGCCACCACAAGGTACCAAAACCCAACACTCTGGGGGAGAGTTTATACTGTGCCCTTTGATCTTTGATTTTCTGGTTCTCTCTCTCTCTCTCTCTCTCTCTCTCTCTGTCCTTTAGCACTAGCGTTTGGACACAGGACCTTGCACTAAGCTATACCCCAACCCCACACTTTTCTCTTAAGAACTGGTGCTGCCATCGCTCCTTTGTGACCTTTGAAATAGACTCACATTAATCACCCTGACCACCGTGGTCACTTGGCCCTCTCCTTGTATTCTCATATTTTCTCCCCTCTGCTTTTGTCTCTCTCCAAGTCTCTTCTCTTGAAAAGACGCCAATCACATAGTGTTAAATGCTCACCCTAGTCCATCCAGTATGATTCCATTTTAACTAATAACAACCGCAACCACCTTGTCCCACCCCCACCCCTCAAAAAGGTACATTCTGTGTCAACCTCCAGTGTCAGGAAGTTGTTATGTCTGCTTGGGCTGCCATCACAACAACACAGGTTGGGTATTCTTATCCAAAGTATTTGGGGCCAGGTTGGAGAGATGGCTCAACAGATGTGAGCATTTATTTACTGCTCTATCAGAGAAGCAGAGTTTAGATTCTAGCATCTAAACTCTTGAGGAGGGATTCACAGCATCTGTCACTCCAGCTCCAAGGGATTCAAGGCCCTCTTGTGATTTCCATGATCTCTCTCTCTCTCTCTCTCTCTCTCTCTCTCTCTCTCTCTCTCTCTCTCTCTCACACACACACACACACACACACACACACACACACATACACACACACACACACAAAGTTTTTAAAATAATCTTTCAAATATTTGGGGGCTGGAGAGATGGCCCAGTGGTTGAGAGCACTGTCCACTCTTACAGAAGACCCAGGTTAGATTCCAAAAACCACATGGTGGCTAAGAACCATCTGTAACTCTAGTACCAGAGGATTCAACACTGTCTTCTGGTCTCTAAGAACACCAGGCATGCACCTGGCATACATACAAACACACATGAAAGCAAGACATCCATACACATAAAATAAATAAAATTAAATTAAATATTTGGGGCCACAGTATTTTAAAGTTCTTCTTTCTTCAAATTTTGGAATGTAATTTTTTTTTCAATTCTTGTCTATTTCTTTTATTTAGACAAGACCTCACTGTGTAGCTCTGGCTAGCCTAAAACTTGCTATGTAGACCAGGTTAGTCTCAAACTCACAGAGGTCTGTCTGCTTCTGCCTCCTGAGTACTAGTATTAAATTCATTTGCTGCCAAGCAAGCCTTGGAATATTTAGATAGACACAATGAAATATCGTAAAGAGGGAACCTAAGTCAGAACATTAAATTCATTCATGTTTAACAAACAACTTAAAACACAGTCTCAATATAATTTTATATATTTTTCATATAGACTTTCTGCATTAATGGTGCTCAACCTATATCAGACTAGGTGACTTAAGTTGTAGAAATATATTGTTCTATAGTTCTGGATACTAGGAACCCAAGACCAAGGTGGCAGACCCTTCTGACTCTGGTGAGGGAACTCCTTCTGAACACCAAGAAGCCCCTAGGTCACTGTGTCCTCAGGTATCAGAGCCAGGGAGTGATCCTGTATCTCCTTATTGAGTACCAGTCTCACCAGGAAGGCCCCAGTTCATGACTTCCATGTCTTAGTGACAGTTCCTGTTGCTGTGAAGAGACACCATGACTGCGGCAGTTCTTATAAAGGAAAATACTTAATTGGGGTAGCTCGCTTACAGTTTCAGAGGTTCAGTCCATGATCGTCATGGTGGGAAGCATGGCAGCGTGCAGGCAGACATGGTGCTGGAGGAACTGAGAGTTCTTACATCTTGACCCACAGGCAACAGGAAGTGGCTTGAGCATATATGAGACTCAAAGCCCGCCCCCACAGTGACATACTTCCTCCAATAAGGCCACGCCCATCCCTCAAAAGCCACACCTCCTAATAGTGACACTCCCTTTGGGGGCCACTTTCTCTCAAACCACCACACCTCCTCTAAACCTACTTATTCCTCTAGAGGCCCCATCTCCAAACACTATCACTCTGGGGTTAAGGTAGTTAGTTTTAAGTGTATCACAACCTAGAACCACCTGAAAATCATCTCAGTGAGGGATCGTCTAGACACAGCTGGGTCTACAGACGGGTATATGGGGGGTGGGGGTTATTGATTGTGTTAAGGAACGTGGCTAGCACCATTCCTTGGTCTTGGGTTTTAGGGTTTCTAGCGCTGTGATGAAACACCAGAACCAAAAAGCAAGCAGGGGAGGAAAGGGTTGATTTGGGGAAGTCAGGACAGGAACTGAGCAGGGCAGGAACCTGGGGTGGGGGGGCAGGAAGTGATGCAGAGGCCATGGAGGACTGCTGCTTAATGACCTGTTCCCCATGGCTTGCTCAACCTGATTTCTTGTAAAATCCCACAATGGGCTAGGCCCTCCCCTATCAATCACTAATTAAGAAAATGCCTTTCAGCCTGATCTTATGGAGGCATTTCCTCAATTGAGGCCCCCTCCCTTCAAATGACTCTAGCCAGGCTGAGTTGAGCAGCAAGCCTGTACAAATATACTCTCTCTTTGCTTTTGACCACGGATCTGATGTGACCGGCTGCTTCAGGTGGTTGTCAGTTTGACTTACCTGAAATGATAGACATAACCTGGAATTGAAGCCAAAATAAATACTTTCTCTCTCTAGAGTGCTTTTGTCGGAATATTTTGCCACAGCAATAGATAGGAAAGGAGGGCAAAGGTTAGATCTTCAATACGAACTTGGGGTGTGACACACACATTCAACCCAACAACCCCACACCGTCGATTAGGTGACACACAGAGCAGCTGCCTCCCTGTGCAGCGAACAGGAACTGAGTTCGAGTTCTACAGGCTGACTCCTCTAATGTGCAGACTCTGGGCCACTGACATCGGATGACCCCAGGCCAGTCCTTTAGTAACCAGCCCTGTGCTGCTAGAATCTGCGTGCCACACTTGCCGCACAACCTTTGCACAGGGGAGGGGACAAATCAAGAAGATCACTTCCCCTCCTCCCTCGGAAAACTGGGCTGGCTAGTCAGCAGAGAGAACTCTCAGGGGAATTCTAGCCAGCCCCTGCAGTGGCTCTGGGAGCTGGCATGGTCTCCCGGATTGGAAATAACCCCAAGGGAAGGACAGTCTGGCTGGGACCCAGGCTGACAGATTCCCTCCTGGGCTCCGGCAGACCGGTTTAACAGGAACTGCCCTTTTGCCCCCTTACATTGTTAGCACAGCCTGTTAGGAGACAGCTTGTGTGTCCTTGTCCCCAGTCTCAGCACCCAAGCCACACTCCAGAGCCACAGGTCCCTTCTGCTCTCTGCAGCCCACCACCCCCGCGCCTCCTGACCCTACCCCAGAGGTTTAAGTAGGCACCATCCCACCACCCGTTGTTTGGGACCACGGTGCCCCATCGCTATTAATAATGCATGCAGAGAGCCCATCTCCTAGGAGCGGGCGCAGCGCGCTTTCCAGGCGTTATCTAATTAGTCCTCACCACATCCCGGTGAGCGTCAACAGATGCTGTGCTCCAGCGAAGCCATCAGGGAAAAAAAAACGCCTGCTGAAGCCCATATAGATGCAAAAGCAACTGTGCCCATGCTCAACAACAGTACTGACACAGCAAGAGCAGACGATGCCACAAGTTGGCAACAAACGCCAGTGCTTCTGAGATCCTCAGATGAACGTTGGAGGCGTCTGTGATGGACTTCCACAAATCCCAGCTTCCAGGCAGGACACCTAAACTGGAGTGTGGGGCCAGTAAAGATGACTCGACCCTAATGGGCGCTTGCTGCCAAGCCTGATGACCTGAGTTCAGTACCTGGCCCTGACACGGTGGAAGGAGAAAACTAACACCTGAAGTCATCCCCTGACTCCATGCAAGCACTGCTACACACAGGTGCATGAGTGGGTGGGCACACCTGCATGCACATGCTCTCTCTCTCTCTCTCTCTCTCTCTCTCTCTCTCTCTCTCTCTCTCTCTCTCTCTCTCTCTCTCTCTCTCTCTCACACACACACACACACACACACCAATAAACATAAAAACAAAAATTTAATAAAAAATAAACGAGGTGATTGAATTTTACTGGCTCTCTAGGCAATCATGAATTTATGGTTTGTTTGTTTGTTTTTTCATTGTTTTTCAGGCTGGGGGAAGTAGGCTGTCACACCATCCAGTGTCACACTGTCATCCCTGGCTGGCCTCTGACTCACAATCCTGCCTCTTTCCAGAGTGCCAGCCTGGTTGCGGATGTGCGCCTCCACTCGCTGTTGAGAATTCCTTCTGAAGACTCACCGGTTGGAGACCAGCTCATCGGTAGAGCGCTTGCCCAGATACGAAGGTTCCAGCGACACTGAAAGTAATAGAGTAGGAGCAGCAGTAGCTGGCATGGTAGCCCATGCCTGTAATCCAACTGAGAGACTGAGGGAGCAGAATCTCCAGGCCAGCCTGGACGATGTAGTGAGGCCCTGTGTCCACAAAATTAAAAAGGAAAAGAAATAGCGGGGACTGGAGGTGTAGCCTAGTAGTAGAACATGATTTCCCTGTACTACGGACTCTGGGTATGAGGGACTGTTTTTTACCAGTGAACTAGACACACTGAGGGTTTTCTGAACCATGCAACAGGGGTGGGTGGGCTGGGACATAGCGAAGTCACCTTTCTAGAAGTCCAGTGACCTGGATTGTCTTCTGGGCTTTACCACTGGGACATCAATCCTAGGTTTCAGTCTGACTGAAGCACAGGCTGCCCAGATTAAACATTATCTCTGGGTGTGTCTGAGAGGGCAATTCTGGGTAAGATTAGCAGTTGACTACATGGTAAAAAAACAAGGCTGTCTTCCCCAACATGGTGGGCTTCACTCAACCCATGGGGGCCTGAGAAGAACAAGTCAGAAAGGGGGCGTTTGTCCTTCCTTCCGGTGTCCTGCTGAGCCGGGCCCCTGGGCTGGGCGTCATGCCATCCCCTGCTTCTCTTGTCTTGGGATTTTTGCTGTCAGGCTCAGCTCCCCTCTCCTTCCAGGTTGCAGTTTGACGTTTTCAGCACCTTGGAGCCTGGGAGGCCGTTAGACTTGAACAGTGGGCGGAGTGATGTGTGCCACTGGCGGGTGGAAGCATTTAACTGTGGCTCAAGGTTCCTCCTGCACAGTAAAAGGCACGCACTGAGACAGGCCTGCATCTGCAGGTGTCGGGAGTGAACTGCCCTGTTGACCTGTATAAAAAATGTACACGACCGGGGTATGCCAGTGGAGCATGTTCTTAGCGTGTGTGAGGCCCCAGGTTCAGTCCCTGACCCCAAAATAAACAAACACCAGGAGCAAGAAATACTTTTTGTTTCTTTCACCTTTTTTTATTTTAAAATTTTATGTTTATTTACTTATTGTGTGCCCTCATGTGAAGGTCAGAGGACAACTTGCAGGAATCCGTTTTCTCTTTTCACTACCAGGGTTCTGAAGGTCAAATTCAGGTCTTCCTGCTTAGCCACAAGTGCCTTTACCTGATGGCCCATCTCTCCAGTCCCCTCTTTTCGTTTTTTGACACAGCATCTCACGATGGAGCCCAGGCTGACCTTGAAATTATTTCTTCCCATACCCCATACCATACCCCCTTCGTGTGTGTGTGTGTGTGTGTGTGTGTGTGTGTGTGTGTGTGTGTATGCGTGCGTGCCCGCATGTGTGTGTGGAGGGGGTCTGTGGGTCTGTGTCTGTGTTCGTGTATATAAGTTCAGGCAGGCATGTCGAGGTTAGAGAATAACTGTAGGGCAGGTCCTTGTCCTCCATACTGTTTGAGACAATGTCTTGCCACTGAATATGCCAAGGTAGCTGCTCTCAAAGCTTCCAAGGATCCTGCAGTTTCTGTCTCCCATTTCCCAGCTCCTGGCCTTACATGGATCCTGAGGATTTGATCTGAGGTCTTCCCATTTTCAAGTTCAGATCCTCACATTTGTAAGGCAAGCAGTTTTGTGTGTCTTGGTGTGTGTGTTTCAAAGCTCTCCCTATCTAACCCAAGCAGGCCTCAAACTCATGATTTCCCTGCCTCAGTCTCAGAGGTATTGAGATTATATGCACATCCAGCAAAAAGGATTGTCACAGTTTGGCTTTGATGATTGCTGTGTCTTAGCCTCGTGTCTCATGACCGATACACTATCCAGGACACCGCTGCCAGTAGAAGGCATACCCTCTGCCCCAGTGATCAGCTGAAGTAGGTCACTAATGACTGAGTATTTGCTTCCTGGAGTTCGGTATGAGCCGATGGTGGGAAAGTTGTAAGCATCCCCCCACCCCAACCCCCACTCCCACCCCCAGCCCATGGTGGGAGTGAACTACTTACTGGTACTGTGGTGTTTGCTGTCTTAGAAAGGAACTTTGCCTGAGGTCAAAGGTGAGCCAGAGCAATAGCAATATCTGCAAATTGTAGACATAGGCAGGCAGCCTGGTCCTCAGAAATGGAAAGCAGGTCTCTCTAATTTTTTAAGCCAGTCTGACAATGTTGTTACTTGTTTTTTATTTTGCGGTTTGTTTGTGTTTTAGTAGTCAGACTGGCAATGACTCAGAAAGGCAGAGCTCCTGAGTCCAATTCCCCAGCATTGCCCACACATTAGCTGATAGTTGCATAGATACAGACACAGACCCGCATATATGTCTATAATCAATGTATTATCTTCCAAGGACACAAAATGTTGACATCTGTTAGGTTGTAAATATTCCCCAAGAAAGGCAACAGAATTGAGCCTTGGAGTCAAACAGGATTTAAAGAAACACCTGGTTCTGT